CCTGACCTGGATGAAATGACAGACTCTGGAGATTCCCCCAAGGAGGGCCTCACCCTTCCTGGGGATGATGTGGGGATTGGGTGGGGGCTGGAGGACTGGTGGAGGGACAAGGGAGGAGGGGTGGGAGAGGGAGCTGGGATTGACATGTGAAGCAAGCATGTTTCTAATTTAAATAAAAACATATATTGAGGGGGGAAAAAGGAAGTATGTCTTAAGGGGACAGGAATAAAGAGATCCATACTCTCTCCCCTAGTTGCTCATCAGAGAACTTGGTTAGTAAAAAAGATTTTAAGAGCAAATATCTAGACTAAGTAAATAACTTTAAAAGATTTGGGGGAGATTATAATATCATTAATCAAACGGTTTTGTTATTATAAAATTGGAGAGTTATTATTTGAGAAAAATACAGATGTCAGGACACAAAAAACAAGGCTGGGTGTGGTGGCACACGCCTTTAAAACCCAGCACTTGGGAAGCAGAAGCAGGCGGATCTCAGTGTGTTCCAGGTCAGCCTGGTCTACGTAGTGAATAGGGGGGTAGCCAAGACCCTGTCTCCAAACAAAACAAAAGATACAAAAGTTACAGAATAAAGCCACAGAGAAACCCTGTCTCGAAAAACCAAAAAAAAAAAAAAAAAGTTACAGAAAAAAAAAAAAAACCGGGCAGCAACAGTTTTGAAACCACACATTGCCTTGGACTGCCAAGTTTAGGATTTACCCAATTAGGGCGCCAGGGAATAAAGAAACAAGACACACAGAAAATCTGGGATCTGAAGGCTGGGAAGTACTTTGGTGGACATGCATCAACCGTCCTTCAGACACTCAGTCCAAATAGGAGGCTAGATAACTACTCTGTGGGATGGCAACTGACAAATCTCAGTAACAGGCTGGGGGGTGTGGCTATCTGATCTCTGTAGGGGGTCTATGTGGGACAGTGCAATTTCGGTAGGAGATCTACCCGAGGAACCTAATCTCAGTTTCTTTGTAATTGTCTCTGGTTGCAGTCTTAGAGGAGAGGAAACAGCAATTGATACTTTGGGTATACAATGTCCACATTAGGACTTGGACCAGGCAAAGGGTTTACAATTACCACAGTCTGAGGCATTGGAGTCTGACATAGCCATGCTTATGTCAATAATACACATTCACTCAGAAGTCATCCACTCTCCACAACATTCTTAATGTAAAGTATCTTTTCGGTGAAGCCTTTGGGGTTATTGTTTTAATCACAGTCGTGTAAAGGGTCCAAAGAAAACTACTGCTCTGTGAACACTGAAGCAAAGTGTTTTCATTTCTAACATGTTCCCCTCCGATTCTGAAGTAGGACACTGGGCTTTTAGCTACGGTTCTTAGTTATAAAGCCACATTAAAGTCTGTGTACGATCACATAGGATTTGGAGATGTATGTTTTTCCCAATGAAAACCTGGGTTTATCCCCAAATGGAGAATGAGCCACAAGTAAGGTTTCCAACCCATCAGAGCTGGTAAATTCAATATTATATACACAAGAACTCTTAGCAGTGAGCTGTGAGTCAGGAACATTTCAGACAAGGGAGCACTTGATCTGGCCAACTCAAGTGTCCTCATGTGGACAACTGGTAAGTGTATTTTGGATTGCAGCTGCCTCGTAAAATTGAGACCACAAGATTGCAGTGGGCACCCTTTTATTAAGCCCATCCACTGATCTTCAACTCTATGGATCTAAATTTTGTTCCAAAATCTGTATTAGGAGGCACACTGCATGGATTCTGAAGTCAGTCTGTGGGGATTCTAATCCCATCTCTGCCATTACAAGCTGCACGGCTTCAGACTGGTTACTTAACAATTTATACTTCCAATGCTGCCTCTATGAAGGGGGACAACTCACTGAGCTGTTGACAAGGCTTAAGGAGGTAATGTTTCCACAGCATTACATAGTTCCTGGCTCTTAGTAAGTTCTATAATGTTTGTTGCTACTATCGTTAACCGGATTTCTGGTTGGTTTTTTTTTTTTTGGTTCCTCCTCTGCCTCCCTAAATTAAAATAACATTTCATAATTAAGAAATCAAAACACCAATAGACATCCCTAGAAATATATCACCGCATTTCCCAAGGTATAGTAATTTGAAGCCAGACAGAAGGAAAAGTAATGAGACACAGGAGGAGGAAGAAGGTACTCATTTTGGAATGTGGCTGGCCATCTGTTCTTCCTCATCCAAAACGGGGTGCCTAAGAATTTCCAACAAATGTTAGCCAACCCTGATTCAAGTGAGGTTGCCATCTTAGCCAGTACCATCATCCCAGCACTTGTGAAACAGACATCTCTGTATCAGTGTTTTTGAAAGTGAGGGCATGAGATACACGCCATGAACCTTCACAACAGTATGCCAGAGCTGGGTGGGTTTATGACTGTAACCCCAGCACTAAAGAGGCAGAGGCAAGAGCATCTCCAGTCTGAGGACAGCCTGGGCTACATAGTGATTACTGGGTTCAGCTTGGGTTACATAATAAGACCTTCATTCAAGCCGGGCGTTGGTGGCGCACGCCTTAATCCCAGCACTCGGGAGGCAGAGGCAGGCAGATCTCTGTGAGTTCGAGGCCAGCCTGGTCTACAAAGTGAGTTCCAGGACAGCCTCCAAAGCTACAGAGAAACCCTGTCTGGAAAAACCAAAAAAAAAAAAAAAAAAAAAAAAAAAAGACCTTCATTCAAAAATAAAATAATAAAAGAGGGTGCCATGGTACACATATTTAATTGGAGACAAGTGAGTTCGAGGCCAGCCTGGTCTGCAGAGCGAGTTCCAGGACAGCCAGAGCTACACAGAGAAACCCTGTCTCGAAAAAATAAAATAAGAAAAATAAATTAAAGATAAACATCAAGACAGTTTAAAAATTAGTACGATTTCTTACATATTAATTTACAAAATAATATTACTTCTCACCAGAAATTGTAGTCAAAGCTGGTCTAAGTCACTGATTCTTAGGTGATAAAACCCAAGTGTGTGTGTGTGTGTGTGTGTGTGTGTGTGTGTGTGTGTGTGTGTGTGTGTGTGTGTGGTCTTACATTGAAGATCAGAAATAAAACCTGAACATAAAGCTGTTGATTAGAAGACCTTAAAAACTGCTAGTGCCACACTAACAAAGAAACCCTTGCAAGCCTAGAAGGTGGGCAGAGAAGTGTCATCAGTTGCTCTGCCTCCCCGCTTTAGTTTCAGTTTCCTTAGTTTCTTCCCTCAACAAACACTGGTAGCTCTCCACCTTGAATCCACTGGGTCCTTGTAATCCCCCAATATTCCCAGTTGCTCTCTTTCCCTTCATTCACCACCTGAAAGTCTGAAAAGTCTACTGGTGTGGGTCTCCCTAGTGGTGGCGCCCTTTCCTAGTTAGCCCTACTTGTCACACTACACTGTGTCATGACTTTTTTAAACCTCCAAGACAGGGTTTCTCTGTGTAACAGCCCTGACTGTCCTGGAACTCGTCCTATAGTCCAGGCTGACCTCAGACTCAGAGATGTGCCAGCCTCTGCCTCCCGAGTGCTGGGATTAAAGGCGTGTGGAATGACTACCTGGCAAACTCTCCCAATTCTTAAGGGAAAAGACATCCCACAGGAGCATAGTCAGGTTTTCAGTTTAGAACTAAGCAATGACAGATCGAGGTGGAGGTCATCATGCTCCCCCACCCCCACTCAGATTTTAGTTTCTATGCTCCTGTCTCTTACATGTTAAAAAATAGTTATATTCATACAATATATTCTGATCACAGTCTCTCCTCAATCATCTACCAGATCCTTGACACCCTTCCAAGCCCACACCTTCTTTGTCTTTCTCTCTCTCTCTTAAGAAAAGAAACAGCCTGGTGCCGTGGTGCACACCTGTGATTCCAGCATTTGGGAGACAGAGACTGGTGAATCTCTGTGAGTTCGAGGCCAGCTTAGTCTACATAGAAAAGTTCCAGGACAGTCAGAGAGACATAATAGAGAGACTCTGTCTCAAAAAGACAAGGAAAAAGTAGGCAAACAAACAAACAAACAAGTATAAGACAAAACAAACTAACAAAAAAGGGAAAAAAGAAAGAAACTAAAGAAAGATTACCAGAAACAGCACCCTCCACACACACACACACAAGAAAACTCAAATTGGTAATCATAATATACACCCAAAGGTTAAAAACAAAGAAAGCCCAAACCAAGCAATATGAGACAATTTTTTTTTCTAAAACTACCTTTGGGTTATTTTTGTTTTTGTTAACATCTACTGCAGTGGGTGGGGGTGGGGAGCTGCCCTTATGTGTGATTCATACTTCTTTCTTAAATTAACTAACTAATTTATTTTTTTGGTTTTTCGAAACAGGGTTTCTCTGTGGCTTTGGAGGCTGTCCTGGAACTCACTTTGTAGATCAGGCTGGCCTCGAACTCACAGAGATCTGCCTGTCTCTGCCTCCCGAGTGCTGGGATTAAAGGCGTGGGCCACCAACGCCAGGCTAAATTAATTAATTAATTAATTTAGGTTTTTGCGATAGTGTCTATGGTCTATTCAGAATTACCCCACACTGGATAAAACAGTGTTTTCCTAGGCTGTGCCTTGCCCTAGGAGACTCCATTTTACAAACAGCTTTAGACTCCATCTTGACAGAGGATAATGACTACAGCCCTTTCGTGGATCTGCAAACTACCCATGCAGCACAGAATGATAAATGACTTATTCCTGGGAGTATAAACGGAGCTACTCTATAAGATATGGGGGTGAATTGAGACTATAGGGGCACATGGCTGTATTAAAATCATATGTGGAAATGAGGTCCAAGAACTCGCCAGACACACTAGGCCCAGGAAAGGGTGTAACTCCCTTACCTGGAGGGTCATACACCAACCTATCATCCACCCGGTCGAGGACCAATCAGCAGAGGACTTCCTGATTAACCCTTTTCAGCTCGGCTCACTGCCTGGCCTCTGCTGGGCTGCCTGCTCGTTAATCTTTCACCTCTCTGGACCCAGACCCTCCATCTCCCCATTTAAGCCCCCAGTACCTTGCATCTGAAACTCCCCAGCTTCACATCCAAACTCTGGCTCAAGCAGCTCCAACTTCGGCTTCTTTCGTCATCCTCTCTCGGGCCACTTCCAATGCCTTCGGAACTCTGTTGTGACCTCTTTACCTTGTGTTACCCTGGAAGTCACATCCATGCATCTAGATATACAGACACAAGCAGCATGTGCGGTGTCGTAGGAGAGTTAACATTAGCAGTTGGGGGTGGAATCGGAGAACCTGCCTTGCCTCAGCCAGACTGCCAAATCAGGCGGCTTATATGACAGGTCGCCACCATTGAACCCACTGAGCCTCGCTAATGTATTGTTATTCAATACCTTCTCACAGTGTGGAAAGAAATCAGGTGCTGTAGTCATAATCCGCCCTCAAAACGGAGTCAAAGGCTGCGTGTAAAACAGTCTCCTGGGGCAAAGCGCTCCGGGAACGGAGTGCTTACAACAGACAAGCTTTCCTGTAAGTCAGACTAGCCTCAAAATTCATTACGCATCCAAAGGTGACCTTGAACTCCTCTTCTTCCGGTCTCCACCTTCCAAGCGGTGAAATTTCAAATTTGCACTGTCATACCCGTTTTTTTCTTCAGGGCTGGGAGTCGAACCCCGGCCTTCATGCATTCTAGACGAGCAGGCTACCCACTGATCTACATTCCCAGCAAGTAGCTTCTATTCTGTTCAAGGAAACGGTGACTGCTCAGTGACATTTGATCTCCATTAACAAACAAAGCGTTTACTAATACTAATATCGGAGTTTTCATTTCAGCAGAAGATGCCTCTTGTGCAGTTACTTGAATTACGACTTGGTCAGGATGGTTTGTTCACGGGAAAGTAGCATTAGTGCCTTTGCTAAGGTCAGGCGGCAGGAACTGAGACAGGCTCTCACACGATGGTCTGGACCTCTGTGCCTCCTGCCTCTGCCTCCCAAGTGCTAGGATTACAAGGATGGACCACAAGACCTGCCTAATTATTTCCATTTTGATGCCAGTTTAACCGGTTAATGAATCTAGGCCCTTGTACAGTCGTTAGCTGTTCCACTATATTTCCTACTCTTAGCTTTCCGTCCAACGTCTGATGACGATGGGGGAAAGACAGCGTGGACCATGGCAGGGCCAGACTTTTCACAACACAGACTGCTGTCCCCGGGCTCCCTGTGGTCTCCTGTCAATTGCAGAAGTATCTTGAGGCAATACACTCTATCCCCACACTGGCAATGCCTGCAGGAATTCGAAGCTTGTTGTTAGATGATAGAACTTGAATTGGTTCTTTTTTAGTTTAGTTTTGCTGTTTTTTTTTTTTTTTCGAGACAAGGTTTCTCTGTGGCTTTGGAGGCTGTCCTGGAACTAGCTCTTGTAGACCAGGCTGGCCTCGAACTCACAGAGATCCGCCTGCCTCTGCCTCCCGAGTGCTGGAATTAAAGGCATGCGCCACCAATGCCCGGCTTGAATTGGTTCTTAAGACCAAAGCTAATTTCTTTTTATTCCAAATTCTTTACTCGGGGCAAATGAAAAATTCATTCTGACAGAAAATTGACTTTAAAGTAAAGGAGTGGTTTGGGGTCAGCCTGATTTCCTTTGTGGATTTTTAAAAATCTGTATCATCTGTCGGTCGGTCTGTCTGTCTGTCTGTCTATCCATAGTGTTTTTTTTTTTTTTTTTGAGATTCGGTCTAACTCCTGATCCTCCCTCTTACCTCCTTTGTGTGGAACTGCAGGAGAGTGCCAATAAGGCAAATCCTTCCTGTTTTAATTCGGTCTGTTTTGGGGACTCTTCCTGGGTCGGTTTTTTGTTTTGTTTAGTTTGTGCCAGAGTGTCTCTCTCTCTCTCTCTCTCTCCCTCCCTCCCTCCCTCCCTCCCTCCCTCCCTCCCTCTCTCTCTCTCTCTAGTCCTGACTGCCCCAGAGCTCGCTCTGTAGACCAGGCTGCCCCCGGAGTCACAGAGATCCTCCAGCCTCTGCCTCCTGCGTGCTGGGATTAAAGCCGTGTGCTACCACGCCCGCCCGGCTTCTGCCCGCGGTGGCTTTGACGTCCTCTTAGCAAAACCCAGGAAGCGTTCGGCCGGCCGCGCCGAGGAATGCACGCCTTTTGGCCGTCCTCCCGACCCGTAGCCGCGCCGAGTGCGCGCGAGCGACTCGCGCATAAAAGGCCGGCTCGGGGCGTCTCGCCGCCAGAGTCGCTTCCTGCTTTGGTCGGAGCTGTTGGCGGAGCCGCGAAGATGGCGTCGACCAGCCGGTGAGTGCGGCGGCCGCGGAGCGAGTGGAGCCGGGGGTCGCGGGGCCGAGGCTTCCCCCTGACGGCTGCCGCCGGCGGCCCCTGCTCGCCCGAGTCGCCGCCGTCCGGGTCGGTCCCGCGGGTCTGCGGCGCCCCGGCCTCCGCCTCCCTCCGGACCCCGCAACCGTCTTTGTGTCACGTTAATGTTTTCCGTGTCTTTCCCCACTGCCGCCCGTCCCGTCTGCGGGGCTGCGGCGTCGCCTCCTGTCCCGAGAGCCGCGGGAAGGAGGCGACGTCGTCCGTCCCCCTCCATCTGACAGCTGGAAAGTTGGGAGGCGTCAGCCTTGGTGGCCTGGTGGAAACGGGTCGCCAGCCCCGCGACCCCCCGGAGTGGAAAGGAAGGCTCACTCGGAGACCAGAACCACTCTCTCCCAAAGCCCCAACCCCACCCCTAAAAGTATCATTGCGGGCTGCGAAGGAGATGCTGTCTGCAGATAAATTAATTACGTTTGCTGGAAGTCGGTTTTTTAAATGTATTTTTTTTAACGTAGCGTGCTTAATATCCACAGGAAACGCATGTTGTGCCCTCAGAGACAGCCTTTAATCTTGTGACCTGCAAAGTGCTATGCAGACCCTAATTATATCCCTTGTAACCACTGTGAGGTAGGCATTAGTGTTCTGGCATATGTGTAAACTGAGTCATGCCCGTGTGTTGACCTTTCGAGTGCCTAGGGTACCTATTCCTGACCGTCATTCCATTGGCCTCTATTGATACAGAATGTATTTATTGAAAGTATCAAATCAAGTTCTGCACTTCTGACACTTTTTCCCCCCTGAGGTGGTTACTGTGTGTGGAATTGACAGATGTCACCACGGGAAGCCATTATTCACAGAAGCTCAGGCCCTTTCTGGGAACCCCAAAGACTTTATTATAAAAAGCAAGAGTTGGCCATGGGGAGCAGCTTCAACTGTCTGTGTGGAAGGAAAACCATCGACACTCTTGCTTACCGATTCGAATTTATTTTTAAATTAGATTTAATTATGATTTAATCATCCCATCTGGGTGTGGTTTTGTCAGGTAAGGCTTCCTTGTAAGGTCATGGAAACAGCTTCCCCAATTTATCCAATTCTGAAATTTTCCCATGGCTGTCGATGGGGAAGCTGCCTGTGGTGTCATAGGTAGGCACAGCTTATCTTCTAATGCAATAGGAACTTCTGTGTTCTTGAAAGACGAGTTGTAGTAGTTAAATACCACACATAGTAAACTCACTGGTTACAATTTTTAAACTGTTTTTGTCATTTGAAAAATTCCTTGAGATTTATTTTTTTCTGGACAGTCAGTTTTCATTTTGAGTTCCTGGCCTAGAATTCCATCACCACCTGGAAGGAGGTGGGATTGGAGATCCCATCATCCGGCTTTTAAGTTTGTGTCAATCCTGTTGCCGCTCTCCGATTTTCCCATCAGTGGGAACAAAGGCTCAGTCCTTGGGCATGGTATGTAGTCACTTAGCCTTGAAACTGCTTGGTGTTCTCAAAGATGATAACATGTTCAGATTGAAGCCCGCTACTTATTCTCATTTCAGGCAGATGATTTTCTGGCCATGGTCTGTGAGGTGCAGAGAGTGCCTGCCTGTCTTGCAGAGTGTTGTGCAAATTAGTCATGGACGATATAGATGGGGCTGCACTGGTTGCTGCTGTTCTGAGGACCTGGGTTCAGTTTCCAGCACTCACATGGCACCTCACAAAGTCTCTTACTCCAGTTCTAGAGAGTCTGTTGCCCTCTTCTTACCTCTGCCCATACCATGCACGTGCTTCACAGAGAGACATGCAGACACAATACCCACACTGCAGTAATTCCATTATCATTTAAATACACTGAAAACTTTCCTGTTTCCCTTTCCCAGAACTCTCCTGCTAAGCTATATTCCCAGCCCCTTGACTGCCTTTTATTGCTTGTTTGTTATTTTTTGTGTTTTGTTTTGGTTTTTTGTTTGTTTGTTTGTTTTGCTTTTTCATACTATAGTCTGAGCTGCCCTGGAACTCACTATGTATTATTAGGACAGCATTGAATTGGTGGCAAACTTAGCTCTGCTTCCTGAATACTGGGATCCCAGGCATGCTCCATCACAGCTGGCTTGGTCTACTTGTTAACAGTATTAACCTTTGTTAATCCCTAACATACTGATATATATATATTTGTCGTTGGTTTTTTGGAGACAGGGTTTCTCTGTATTGTTTTGGAGGCTGTCCTGGAACTAGCTCTGTAGACCAGGCTGGCCTCGAACTCACAGAGATCCGCCTGCCTCTGCCTCCCGAGTGCTGGGATTAAAGGCGTAAGCCACCTCCGCCCGGCAACATACTGTTATATTAACTTCCTGCTTGTTTACTGATAACTACCCCTATTTTGCTAAAATTTTACTTTATTTCAGCTTTATTAATGCTATTATTCCTCATAACTTATTTTTTCTAAAAAATTTCCAGAATAACTACAAGTATAAAGCAATTTCTACCTTCTCCCATTTTCCCAATTAGAAAAGTCCAAGCAAGATATGTTTTAATTAATTAAGTAAATTTGGTGGTTATTATATGTCTTTGTTTTTGTTTTTTGGTTTTTCGAGACAGGGTTTCTCTGTGGCTTTGGAGGCTGTCCTGGAACTAGCTCTTGTAGACCAGGCTGGCCTCAAACTCACAGAGATCCGCCTGCCTCTGCCTCCCAAGTGCTGGAATTAAAGGCGTGCGCCACCAACGCCCGGCTTTTGTGTTTTTTTTTTAAATCAATTTTTTCATGCGACTGCAAAGTTGTTGATATGGCACGGAGAGCTGGCTTTGTGTTAAGAGCACTTGTTGCCGTTGCAGAGGACCTGGCATCCAAACGGTGACTGCGCTTGCAGGAGATCTGACTCCTTTTCTGACCTCTGGGCACTAGACATGCATGCACTACACATATATCCATGCATAAAACAATATATGTATGTATGTATATACACACATATATCTCTAAGTGTAAATGAACAAAAAATAATGTTAGTTGTTAAAACATTCTGAATTATACCAGCTAACATGAGAAACTTGATCCTAAACCACAAATGTCTATTTACATATTGTCAGAGCAGTTAATTTTGTTTTAAGTGTATGCTTATGATAACTAACATAATCATTTGCTGTATACATGTCACGTGAATTTTAGAAGAGGACTCATGTTGCTTTAAAGGTTGTTTTATCAAGTCATTTATGGTTAATCAACTTCCCTAAACTGTTTCATTGTTCCAGATAACACAAATAAGGAAACTGTTGTGCCCGTAAGCTGGGCTTTGTGGCACATCCCCAACTGTGATCTCAGTTCAGGAGGCCAAGGCTGAGGATTGCGCCTAGTTTGACGCCCACCTGGGCTGTATAGTGAGTTTGAGGCCAACAGGACTATAGAGCAGCATCTGTCTTTTAAAAAAATAAAAGGAAAATGTTAATGTTACTAATATCATAAACCTTAAGTAAATATGTTAGCTCTGTAGCCGTATTACTTTTTATGTTAAATTGCAATGCAGTGGATTCCTTATGGCATGTCTTCTATTAGTGCCGCTACACCTTATTACTAGTCAACCCTAACCTCCACCTTATTGCTGCTTCACTTCTCCCAGATAGTGCCCCCTAGTGCCCCTCTCCCTTCCTCCTTCCTCCCTTCCTAAGCTCACTTCCTCCCCCGTATAGTTCTCTTTTTCTTTCAGATACTACATACATATGTCACTTGTATGCATATGTGTATACACACAAGTAAACTTGAATCCAATCTGCACATGAGAGAATCATGCTGTCCCTGCTGTTCTGACTCTGGTTCCTTCACTCAGTCTAATGCTTTCCGGTTGCATTCGTTTCCTACACCTTCGTTCTTTAAGGCTGTGTGTTGGTACCACATTTTCTTTATCCTGCAGTTGATTGCACTTCATAACATTTTTACAGATGAACATGGGTGTTTGAGAATCTGTGTGCTGTGTTTACTTTGAACTTTCAGGTATCTGCCTAGGAGTTGTATAGTCTATTATACAGATCTGTCTTTAAAAATTATATTAGTGTATTTATTTATTTATTTATTTAGTGGGGGGGGGCATATGCCAAGGTGTGAGTCAGGACAACCTGTGGGATTTCTGCTTTCTCCTGACCACATCAGAGAACATCCTATGGAAGCTGGTTTTATCCCTCCACCACATGGGTCCCACTGGCTGAGCTCAAGTCGTCAGGCCTGGCAGAAAGCACTTTTACCCACTGAGCCATCAGCCCTATGCTGATTTCCACGGCAGTTCTAACAGTTTATCTTCCCATCAGCAGTGTGTGATAAGTCTTTTTTTTCCACATTTACCTTACTATTTGATGTCATTTGTTTTCTAGGTAATTACCATTCTGGCTGGAATGAGATTTAAAAAAAAAAAGCAGTTTTAATTTCATTTCCCTAATGGTTAAAGATGCTGAATACATTTCCAAATACTTATTGGCCCCTTGTGTTTCCTGTTTTAGAGAATGGTCTTTCATTAGTCCACTTGTTGATTGTATTTTTGGCACTCAATATTTGGCGTGCCATATAGATTCTTGATATTAATTCTGTTTCCTATGTCACTGGCAGAGTTTTCTTTCCATTCTGTACACTGTGTTGACTCTGCTGATTGTTTCTTTTGCATTGTAGATGCTGTCTAATTTTTTTCCATGCAGTTACTCTTTTTCAGTTCTTGGGATTATATTCTATGCTACTGGGATACTTTTAAGAAAGTCCTTGCTATACCTACATCTTGAAGTGCTTTTACCTGTTTGCCCTAGCACTTTCAAAGTGTCAGATCTTTTTTTTCTTTGTTTTTGTATCTGTGTGTGTGCCTGGTGACCTCAGAGGCCAGAAGAAGGTATCAGACTCCCTAGAACTGGAGTTACAGGTGGTTGTGAACCACCTTGTGGGTGCTGGGAACTGAACGCAGGTCTTCTGAAAGAGCAGTCAGCAGCACTCAACTCAACCTCTGAGCACCAACGTTCAGATCTTACATGAAGGTCTGATCCATATTGATGTTTGTGTAGTATTAGAAGTAGGAATCTAGTTTTCTTCTATGTATGGTTATCCAGGTTTTTAATTTTGTTTTTAATTTGTGAAGATACTTGTGTCTTTTGTTTGGGCTGATCTTGAAGTCCCAGACTCAAGGAACCATACTTCAGCCTCAAGTGCTGGGTCTATAGCTGCATAGCATGTCCAGCAAAACTAATTTGTAACGAACTATAGAAATGATCCCTGAAAGTAAAGTCTTCAGCAAAACTAATTTGTAAAAGCTAAAATCCTGAGTTCTGGACTAACTGAAATGGTCAGACCTTAAGGTCAGCACAAGTGCATCTGACTGTCTTTCATTCAAATGTGTGTTGGCTTTAGAGTGCTGTGCCAAATCTGTCACTAAGGTAGAAAACACCATCATTTTCTAACAAGGGAAATAAATAGCAAAGAGCACAACCCAGATAATTATATGTAAATGCTGCTGGCTGTTATGATTATAATCCAGGGTCTCAAAAATCTTAGCTTGCCTATTACTACGAAACAATAAAACTCGGACTTGTTTCATATTAGTTGGAAAGTTTTTTTTTTTTTTCTTGTAGTTTGGATGCTCTCCCAAGAGTCACATGTCCAAATCATCCAGACGCAATTTTAGTCGAGGACTACAGAGCCGGTGATATGATCTGTCCTGAATGTGGCCTAGTTGTAGGTAAGTAGCTACTAAGGTTTAATTTAAATCATCCACAGAAGTTTGCTTTTGTGCAGTTTCCAAAGTTTTAATGAATACCTTTTGACAGCTCAGCCCCACATAAGCAAGTCACAGTGACAGTAAAGTAAAGTAAACGGAAGAGAAATAGAAATGCTGAAGAGCCTCCAGTCATGCCATGTGCCATTGTGTGCATGTAATCACTGCATGTTGGAACGCTGGTGGAAATCTACCTAAAAGAAAGGAAAAGGCCCCCTGGGCAGTGGTGGTGCACTCCTTTAATACCCCCACTCAGGAGGCAGAGGCAGGCCGATCTCTGCATTCCAGGCCAACCTGGTCTACAGGGTGAGTTCCAGGACAGCCAGGGCCACACTGAGAAACCCTGCCATGAAATACAGAACAACAGCAACAACTACAAAGAAAATGGAAAGGCCAACAGTACTTGCATCCTTAGTTTTAAATAGTTAATGGAAGATACATGTGAAAGGAGATGGGTTGATACTCAAATAACTAATATCCAACTTTTGTGCCACTTGTATGCTTTCTAAAAGAAATATGGTAGATTTCAAAGTAATAATATTGAGCTTCATCCAATGCTTTGTAGTAAAACAAAAAGATATGTTACCAATATGACACCAATATATAGGATATCCTAGTTTGTTATTGTTCAAATATGCCACATCTTAAAATTTAATTTTAGGCCTGAGAATATAGCTAGTAGTAACATGCTCGCCTAGCACTGGGAGAGCCACTTTGTTCAATCCACACTACTACAAAATGAAAAATAAATACGGTTTCGGTTTTATGCTCACTAACCTAGATACACAGAGGAGACTTGGGAGTCTCAGCAGTGCAGAGAAGAGAGAGTACTGAGAGGTTGGCTACTTTGTTTTGTCTTGAAGTACTGCCAATGTAGCACAGGGCCTTACATGGTAGGAAGCGCTCTGTCACTGACCTGCATTCCCAGTTAAGAATGGAGTTGCTATTAGCTTGGGGAACTGTGACAAATGCTGGTAGCATGTACTGTGCATTTGTCTTATTTAACTTCATTCACCCAAGAAGGCTTCTTACTTCAGACCGACACTGGGAAAGTTTTGTTTGTTCCCACTTTGAGTAGCTCAGACTTGTTCCCACTCATTAGCATTCAGTGGGAATTTTAAAGCTTATAGAGTTAATAATAGAAATTGAGATGCATTGCTTTTCATGTCAGCACCTGCTAACACATGTTCTTAACATGGCTTTCATGCTAAAAGTGGCTTGTATACTTTTAAGTGGTTGAGAACAATTGAAATGATACTATTTTGTACACAAGAAAATACTACCATATGTAAGTTTTGTAATGCATGAGGTTTTATTGGAACATGCCCACATTCACTTGTTTCACATCTCCTTAGCCACTTAGTAATTGCAGTAGAAACCACAGGCTTGCTCTTATCACTTGGCTCTGCCACTCAGCTGTACTGTTAACTGTAGTTGTGGAGTTAGAACTCAGTGGAACTGTAAGCATGCAGGTTGCCATATTGCAACATTTTATAGTGTTTATTTTATTATTATCTTGCACTCATGTCAAAACAAACTTGTCACCCTCTTAAGGTGGAGTGCAGTAATTATCTTGTTGATTAGGTAGCAGTGCCATTGTTCGTTGTGCAGGGATGCTGCAGCTGTGGATTGACCATGTAAGCACTCTTCAGAATACACTCAGGAGGAAAGCGGTCAGAAAAAATTAACGTGGCCATTTAATCACACCCGAATTTCTTAATAAAAACAGAATAAACTATGGAGCCTACTGTAAACTAGTCATGTTTCCTATGTGATACTTGATTTAAAAAGAGACTATCAGGAATGCAAGTATTTTTTGAAGGAAGCCAAAGGCTATGTCTAGACCACAGTGCACTGGGATTGGTGAGTAAAGTCTTAGACCCACTCAGGTAGATTGAGGAAATGCATTCCACTTTGGCATGAGAACCAGTCACATAACTGTTCAGTGTATAACAGTGATCTGTTAGACTTTCATTTGAACTGTAGAATACATTGCAGTGCTGTGATTTGGCATTCACTGTCTTATCATTGATTTGTATGTGTTGTAGTGTATACATGTGCTTGTCAACTGGCAGAGGTCAGAGGAGGTCATCCATCACTTTCTCCTTTAGTCAGTTAAGACAGTCCAGAGCTTGCTGCTATTCATTGAGGCCTGCTGACAAGCCCCAGATTCCTTTGTCTCCACCCACACCCCCTGCACCTGGTTTACGAATGTATGTCTATGCTGAAGTTTTTAAATGGGTTCTCATGTTTATGCTTCAAGCCCTTTTATCCACTGAGCCATCTTCCTTGTAGCCCTGTCTGGTCTGCTGTCGCACCTGCTGTGCGGCCTGCATCCGAGAATGTAGCGAGGTGGTTGGGATAGATGACACAGAGACCGGTCGGTTGCTTTAAGAAAACTTTATGCTCCCCAAGTTGGCTTAGGAGAGCTCCCCAAGAAAAAACACTTCCCTTTTTAAGGACTTTTGCCATCCATCTACATACAGTTCTCCAACTGAGCTCTCACACACCTCTCACAGCTCTCCCAGACTTCTCACTCTCCTGGCTAGTGGTTTAATCTCCTGGCCTCAGAATTGGGGAGAAACCGCAGGGAGCAGGAAGGACCATCTAGCCGTAGGGGGGATCAAAGACATGGTGTTTCAGTGAGTGAGCCCTTATAGGAGCCCTAACAAGAGCTTTATGGCACTGAATTGTTTTCAGTAAACATGTTTTCAGTAAACATTATCTCACAGCTGCCTGCTACCAGGCCGAAGGGGAAGTGGGTTTCTGCTCAAGGTCTGGTGTCCCCACAGTCTGCCACTCAGAGATGTGCCTGTCTCAGTCTCCTTGTTGGGAGTACATCACCACACCTGGCCCTTTGGTGTTTCTTAAGATGTGTTGTGACTACGTAAGCCAATGAGGCATAGCTTCCTTCCTTCAGTGAAACAGTTCAGTAAAATGATTGTGTAGCGAGTCCTTGCCCCAACTAGATTTTAAAAATGTGATAGTGTCACTATAGAATTTCAACAGTAGATTGTACTACAACAATATTTAGGGCATCAGTTTGTTCATAAATTTGACTTAGTACATTGCTTATGTGTTGATTTTTTATTCATCAAAAATATTATGTTTATAGTCACCGTTGTAGCTATTAGAAGATTAAAATTGGGGCTAGGGAGCACAGCTGAATGCCTGTCCTGTTTACTAAACATTAAATCTCAACACTGCTGAGAAGGGAATTAATGTCATGCCTTATGAATTGGGAATTCACATCAGCATTGCTTAAAATGAGTAGTTCCACTTCCAGTTAACATCATGTCATGTTCCCCATGTACATTTAAATTCGTCTTTTTAAAAGCAGCAGGAGGAAAATATATTTGAAAAAGAAATGAGTCATTTTGACCTTTTCTTCCAAAATTTAGTCATTGACAAGTCAAAAGGTAGGTGCTAAAGTGTTGACTGCTTTGAACTGGTGAGAATGATTTTGACAATTATTCTCATAAAACAAAGAGATGAAATTTGTATCTCTTTAGAGTATGATGAAATGCTCTTTAGATGCCACTCTTTGTTATGGCTTCTACATTTCAGTGCAGTGACACTGCTGGGTGGGACTTCCTTTTTATGTGGACCTTGAATAAAGTTCTTGCCCCAGAGATGGAGCCTATCAAAATGATATTTATGTCTCTGTCAGTGCTACTAACACAGCTTTCATGAAGAACTCCCATCTGATTTAAATTTACAAAATCGGTGTGTAATTTAAGAGGGGAAAAACTGGCATGGTTCTATTTCTGGGATACGTGAGGGTGTGTGCGTGTGTGCTTGCTAGCTGGTAGGCTTCTTGCTGTCCAAGGTTGATTACACACAGGCTTCCTTTTGCCAGGGATTGTAGTATCAAAATATTAGGGCTACCTTATTCACTCTCCCCTTGAAGTGATTCTGAATTGCTCCATTTGGAATTTAAGTAGGAATCCTTTATCTATTCAGAATTTTTATGAATAATTCTTTGTTATTATTCATGTATATGATTTTTGGACTGGTTATACTTTCATGCTGTGCTGTGTGAGTTGCCTTGGACGTTTGATTCTGATAAGTGCTGTTTTGAGGAGTCATGTCTAACAGGGAATAGTTATTAGTATAAACCAACTTCTTGAGTGAGATGTTTAGATCATGCCACATATTTGGAAAAATTTACTCCATTGTCCATTTCTGGGTTTTCTATTTATACTATATACCAATATACCTTATAATTATTATTTTTAAAGTTTATTTTGTCCTCTTAAAAGCAGTATAAAGCAATCTGAAAAAGTACTTTGATGCCAAAAGGAAAATGTTATAAAATGAACCATTTCAGCTTGCTGGTGCTTTTTCTCCAAATATGCAGGTAGAATTACAGCATGTGGGAACACCTGCATGGCTGTCCACCTGTACTATTTTCTTGATATATTCGCTTTTGTCCCTTGAAAACATAACAGCTAGGCCTAAAGGCACAGGACTATAATTGTAGCTACTAGGGAGGGTGAGGGAGGATTAAAGTTAAACACCTGCCTGGGCTAGAATGAGTCCCAGGCTATCCTGCACAATTTCCTGAGACCCTGTCTCAAAATAAAAGCAGAGATAGGGCTGATAGTGTAGTTCAGAGAACACTTGATTAGCATGATCAAGGCCTTGAGTGCTTGAAAACTATTATGTGTGCTTTGTGTATATACAGCTACATGTAAGTTAATGGCATTTGGTCTTTTTAACTTTTCAGATTTGGTATCTCTGGTTTGCAGGCCACAGTCTTTATGTTTGTGCTTGTTTTTGTTTTTGTCTTGCTGACTAGGAAAGTTGGCCTCATTGATTCTGCAAGCACAGGTGCATGGGAACCATGTAGTATCACTTTCACCTAAACTTGTCCTTCCTGGGAGCAGCAGTCAGGCTAGCACGTTAAAATGCTTTCTTACTGGGGCCTTTGCTTGTTTTCAGGCCAGGGAGATGGCAGGTGAGGCCACTCCCTCCCATGGTGGTTTTCCTTCACCTAGATGTTGTCTAGGCAATACTCTGGCTACTCTCAGGTTCTCTGGAAGTCCAAATAAAAATGAATTTATCAGAAGCCTTCATTAGCAAATTATTGTTATGTATTTACCTACCTATATCACTAGGTTTAGATTATAACTGTTCTTTTGTATATGTGCATTCTAACTCACATATTCTATAACATATTTGGTATGATCTGCATTGAAATCATTTCACTCCATTTTCCTCTGTCACTAAGTAGTTGCTGCAGAGCCCTGGGGTCTTTTAAAGTCTAAGGGTCAGATGAATGCCTCTCTTACTGGAAATGGAGAGACTGGGAACATCTTCCAGTGTTTTAATTTTCATAGCAGGAGATAGGCATTGAGGACTTATAGGTGCTTTTAAAGAACTTTACATGCATTATATATGTACCTTAGCTCATTTAACCTTTATAGTCTTTAAAATGTGAAGTTACTGGAGAAGTCTAAAGCTGAGGAAATAAGGCATAGAAATGAGCCAGGCGTTGGTGGCGCACGCCTTTAATCCCAGCACTCGGGAGGCAGAGGCAGGTGGATCTCTGTGAGTTCCAGACCAGCCTAGACTACCAAGTGAGTTCCAGGACAGGCTCCAAAGCCACAGAGAAACCCTGTCTCGAAAAACCAAAAAAAAAAAACAAAAAACAAAAAACAAAAAACATAGAAATGAAATAATTGGGGGCATCATGATGGCTCAACAGTGAGAGTGCTTCCCACTAGGCCTGACATACTGAACCCAACATGGCCCAAGAAGAGAACTGTCCTCTGATCTCTACCCATGTGTTGTGCATGCCCCCAACACACAAAAGAAGTAAATGTAGTTAAAACTGAAGACTTCAACTTAAATTATAAATTATTTTTATATGTCTGTGTCTATGTATGGATGTGTGCACGACAGTAGAGTTCCCTTGGAGATAGAGCATGGATCCTCTGGTGCTGGTTTCGGGTGGTTGTAAGCCATCTGATATGGGTGCTGAGAACCAAATTCGGGTCCTCTGGAGAATTGGCATGTGCTCTTAATTACTGAACTACATCCACAGACCTCCATCTAAATATTTTTAATTAAATAATTTTTCCAAAGCTAAGCAGCAGTTTGATCTCATATTCCTTGACTGTCTGTACTGAAACTCATTGTAGTTGCTAGCAAAGATGGACACAGTGGCCTTTACTGCTCCGTGGCTCAATTCGCTGAAAGAGTTTAGTGGAATAGGTTGAAAGCTGATAGATATTTCACTTGTAACTATGTGATCTTTGACAAGTTAGCCCCATTTGTGAAGTAACAGTGAAAGTGGCACCTATGCTTATATCATTCTGGGGATTTAATGGTAACATGTACATTGGGCACACTGCTCAATGTGTTTCAGTATTCAATGCTATGTCTGTCTGCTTTGAAGATATTTCCAGACATTGAGCTTGTCCCACTAAAGCAGTGGTCAGTCATACCTATTCATGTCTGGTGTTTTGATATCACAAACTTAGCCATAGCATCTTTACCTGAAAAGTATGCTTGTTTACCTTTCAATTTTTTTTTTCTCTTTCTCCTCTCTCTTTGTGCTAAGTGGCTTGTTTCACCACATCTGGCTTCATTGTATACTTTGGTTATTTTGCTTTGATCTTTGAGGCAAGGTCTTGCTATCTATATGTAGTCAGTATAGCTTTGATTTCTTTGTTATGCCTCAGCCTCCCAAATGCTAGGAAAATAGCCACATAACTACTACACCAGCTTTTTCTTTTTGTTATTTTTAACCAATACTTTCTTCTAAGAGTTGGGATATGACTAATGATAGCATACTGTTTACATAGTTCATTACTGGACTAGCATAATTGGTAAATGCTTCAAAGACATGCTATCTAAGCTGGAGCCCAGATGCTAAGGAGCCCATGTTGAGATGCTAAATATTAGCCAGCATGGGGAGGTCAGTCCTGTTTCTGGTGAGTAACTGTGTGCTTATCTTCTTAGGGGACCGGGTTATCGATGTGGGATCTGAATGGAGAACTTTCAGCAATGATAAAGCAACAAAAGACCCATCTCGAGTTGGAGATTCTCAGAATCCTCTTCTGAGTGATGGAGATTTGTCTACTATGATTGGCAAGGTAATTAATCCACTTAGCAGGAAATGCCAAGGGAGACAAGGTAAAGATCTGGGAAGTTAGTATTTTTCTAAGTGTCAGTCACTAATCCAAAGAAGATTCTTGGTTTGGGAATAATATTTACCAGTGTTAACCACTATGGAAGTCTACCAATTTGGGTTTTTTTTTTTCCCATCATGGAAGGAAGAACATGGAATCTATAATCTTGGACTGGGATTAAGAGCATTGACTTATTGTCTGGAAGACTTGGGTTTAATTCCCAGCATCCAGTGTGGCACACATACTATAACTCCAGTTCTAGGGATCCTTCTGGCCTCTACTGGTAACAGTCATGCATAGGCACACATCCATATACATACTATTACAAAAACAAAATATCCTTTATAGTTGTTGTGTAAGCTTTTTTTTTCTGGGGAGAGGCAACACCATCTGTTTGCCCGATTTGGAACCAGTGATAAACCCAAGTAATGAGTCTACCAAAGGTCACATCCCACCATAGGCAGCAACTGATGGAACTGCATCCTTGAGCTTGCCACACCACCTGCAGGCAGCAGGCAAGGATGCAAAGTCTTCCCTAGGCTGCACTGCTGGTGAATCAAGGAAGTGTTAACTACTTTAAAACGTTACTACTGCATAATCTGTTTGTTTGAGGCACAGTATCACTATATAGTCCTGGTCGGCCTGTAACTCACTATGTAGACTAGGCTAGCTTTGAACTAACAGGTCCACCTGCTACTGCCTCCCAAGTGCTAGGATTTATAGGCATGTGCCAACATGTTCTGCATAATGACTTTTTAAAAAGATCATTATAAAAAAATCATTTAAAAATTATTGGGGCTAGAGAGAGGGCTTAGAAGTTAAGAGCAATTCGTACTCTTGTGGAGGACCTGGATTTGGTTCCTAGGACCAACACGGTGGTTTACAACCATCATAACTTCAATTCCAGGGGATCTAATGCCCTCTAATCAAGTACATCTGTCTGCTGTTATTTAACACTTACTGATATTAATTTTATACCTCTGCTTTCAACCCGTATCTGCTGTTTTCAGCAAATTATTGTCATAAAACAGACACACATTGTAATCTGGATCAGGGGCATGGAAGAGTTGTAAATTTTTTGGTTCTTTTTGTTTGTTTGTTTGAGGCAGGATTCCTCTGTGTAGCCCTGGCTGTCCTAGAACTCACTTTGCAGAGCAGGATGACCTGGAATGCACAGAGATCTACCTGCCTATGCCTCCTGACTGCTGGGATTAAAGGTGGTGTGTCACCACTGCCTGGTGGAGGGTCATAATTTAAGATCACAGCTATGCATTAGTTTAGGCTATACAAGTTGACTACATGGGAAATCCTTAGCAAGTAAGATTGGTTGTTACATTGCTCTATTAAAGGCAGCTTTAACAAAACAGGCTGAGTAGACAGGAAGATATCAGTCTTAAATCTATTTTTGTTGTTTTTTAAGACAGGGTTTCTCTGTGTATCTCTGGCTTTCCTGGAACTCACTCTGTACACCAGGCCAGTCTTGAACTCAGATCTGCCTTGTCTACCTCCTGAGTGCTAGGATTAAAGGCATGCACCAGCATATTCTCTACCTCAAGCTTCTTTTGAGAAACTAAATGCAGGAACTCACATACACATAGTTCTATTCCTATAGTTACTGGGTAGAGGAATTGTATATGTGAGGCTTCAGATATCATCAATGCTTTTGCTTTAATGAACTCTCGTGCTGTTTATAGCAATAGCATGTTATAATGACTTTGTTGGGCATTTTGGACTCATAGACATAGTGCCTATAAATAGTTGATGGTCTCCTTCACAGTGCTTCAGTTAGTTCCACTTTCTTTTCTGGCTTTTGCAATGTCATGTTACAGCATGGTGGCTTTAGTATGCACTCCTGTCATGGGTTTGATCTTTACCATCAATAAACAAGCATTTTTGTTAAGCATCAAAGCCACCTGGCTGTGTTCTTTACTCAGTGAAGTTGAAACCTTTTCCCACTAATCATAATGCTTGCTTTAGGCCTGGGAGGATGGTTTTTATACTCACAGAAGTGCCCATGTTTAATGTGAGTCTTCATCAAAACTGCATTTTGAATTTTGTTCACTGAGCTTTATATGCTACATTTAGAGATCATGTGATTTTTCTTAGACCTGTGACTATGACATTTCATATTAACTGTTGGATTCTCTAGTAGGTGTCCTTCATGTATTTGACTAGTTTTCACTTGCTCTTGTATCTATATTTAATATGCTTTTGCATTCTGTTTTCTGGCATTTGTATTTTGTGTCATCTATAAATTCAGTTGGGCTTTCATTTTCCACTTTCTCTGTTCTGCAATAATTGTTTAGATTGACTTACGTGTCTGTGAAACACACTCCTTTAAAGCTTCTTCATCTGTAAGTTTCTGTTTGAGGTATAGGCTCTACTAGACATACGTAGTCAGATTGTGTAAGTTACAATTTCGTAGAAATTGTTCAAATTTTCCAAAAATGTTTTCCAAGGTTAAATCTTTGTCTTACAGGGTACAGGAGCTGCAAGTTTTGATGAGTTTGGCAATTCTAAGTATCAAAATCGGAGAACAATGAGTAGTTCTGATAGAGCAATGATGAATGCCTTCAAGGAAATCACGACCATGGCAGACAGAATCAACCTCCCTCGAAATATAGTTGTAAGTTCTTGTCCATCTGCTTTAAGCCATTCTGACATTTACTTTGCTTAATTTAATGAACACATAAAATTTTGATATTATAAGTAATTAAATGGCCTAGATTTAATTAAACATAGTTTCTCTGCTTTGAAGGATCGAACAAATAATTTATTCAAACAAGTGTATGAGCAGAAGAGCCTGAAGGGAAGAGCTAATGATGCGATAGCTTCTGCTTGTCTGTATATTGCCTGTAGACAAGAAGGCGTTCCGAGGACATTTAAAGGTAAGGCTTCAATTACACCAGCTAGATCAGGCAGCTTTGACATTTAACAGATAGTGCTTGTCTTTAGTATAGCATGCAGTAATCCATGTTCGTGACTGTGGTGTTTTGAAAGGAAGTGGCAATGTCAGGAGGTATGGCTTTGTTGGAGTGGTTATGGCCTTGTTGGAGGAAGTGTGTCATTCTGGAGGCAGGATTTCAGGTCTCGTATGTGCTCAAGATACACCCAGTATCTCAGTTCACTTCCTGTTGTCTTCTGATGTAGCCAGTACCATGCCACCATGTTGTACCATGATGATAATGGATTAGTTCTGAAACTGTCAACTGCCACCCCAAATAAATGTTTTTGTTTTGATTTGTTTTTTTTTTTTTATAAGAGTTGCATGGTCATGGTGTCACTTCACAGCAGTAGAAACCCCAAGAGAAGTTGGTACCAGGGAGTGGGATATTGCTGTGAAAGGCCTGACCATGCTTTTGTTTGAAGGAACAGACTTTGGGATTGTAGATTAGAAAAGCAGTTGAATGCTTTAAAATGGGCCATCCCAGTAGGAGCATGGAAGACAGTAGTGCTGAGTTGATTTGAACTGTGGGGGTCTGGCTTAAAAGGTTTCAGAGAAAAGTGTATGTGGCCTAGAGATTACTCTTGTGATATTTTGAAGGGTATGGCTGCTTTTTGCCCTTGTCAGAAGGGTCTGACTGAGGTTAAAGTTAGAGAGTTTTAGATTAATTCCTTTGGCAGAGGATATCTCAAAACCGCTTAGTTGTATAGTTCATAGTGTTAACTCTTATGAGGATATATAATGAAAAGGAGCAAGCTGAGCAAGGAAAACTATTTGAGGAGCAAAGGAGAACCAGAAACTGGGATAGAGCTAAATCCTATGTTTAACGAGATAAACAGATTAAGAAATGGAAAATGGGAGTGATGATGTCAGGGCAAGATTCCACCCAGTTAAGCTTCCAACTTGTGGAAAGGAATTGAAGAAAAGCTTAGAGCCAGGTGTGGTGGTGTACACCTTTAATACCAGCACTCAGAAGGCACAGGCTGGTGGATCTCTTGAGTTTGAAGCCAATCTGGTCTACTGTACTAGTTCCAGGACAGCCAGGCTTAGGCAATGAAGGAAACCATCAAAACCAGAAAGAAGTAAATGAAAAAGGGGACCATGGTCTAGCCCCAGCAAGCCCCACTTGGCCACATGGTTCTGACTTTAGAGTTAAGTATAAAAAAAAGGGGTGAATTTGTCTCTACAAAGAAAGGCACAGGCCGGGCGTTGGTGGCCCACGCCTTTAATCCCAGCACAGAGTGAGTTCCAGGACAGCCTCCAAAACAATACAGAGAAACCCTGTCTTGAAAAACCAAAAAAAAAAAAAAAAAAAAAAAAAAGGCACAGAGGCCAAGCATGTGTAAGGAGTGTCCCTGAATGGAAGCCTAGAGAGGCCATTGCATGAAGCTGTGAAGTTGCAGCCTGGATTGCCTTGGAGACCCCAAGATGTTTGACATTCCAGCACTGTGGGATACCTGCCAAGGAAGGCTGCTAACAGGGAATGGAACCAGTTCAAGAGAACAAAGAGAAGTGTGTTGCAGTCAACAAAGATGAACAGAGTTGGATATTTGAAGCGTTTTGACATCAGATGTGGAGATGCAGAGTTTGGAATTTGCCCAGCTAGTTATCAGTCTTGCTTTGGTCCAGTATTTCCTTACTATCCTCCTTTCTGTACATTTTGGAATGGTAATGTATATCCTATGCCATCCATGTTGGAAGTCTGTGATCTGCTTTTTGATTTAAATTTTACAGGGGATTACAGTTAAGAGATTGCATGACTCTCAGAAGACACTTTGAACTTTTAACATTGTTGAGACTTATGGGGACTTTTGAAGTTGGATTGAATGCATTTTGCATTATGATACGGCTAGAAGCCTTTGGGGGCCAGAGAGTGGAATGTGGTGTTTTGAAAGAAAATGGCCCCAGAGGGAATGGCATTATTAAGGAGGTGTGGGTTTGTTGGAGTGTGTGGCCTTGTTGGAGGAAATGTGTCACTGTGGAGGCAGGGTTTGAGATCTCATATACTCAAGTCACACCCAGTGTCCACTTCCTGTTGCCTTCTGCTCAAGATATAGTCAGCACCATGACTGCCTACATGCCACTATGTTGCACTGTGATGAGAATGGACTAACCTTCTGAAACTGTAAGCTGCCACCCCAATTAAATGTTCTCTTTATAAGAGTTGGCATGGGCCAGGCGTTGGTGGTGCACACCTTTAATGCCAGCACTCGGGAGGCAGAGGCAGGTGGATCTCTGTGAGTTTGAGGCCAGCCTGGTCTACAAGAGTTAGTTCCAGGACAGCTTCCAAAGCCACAGAGAAACCCTGTCTCGAAAAAAGAGTTGGCATGGTTATGTTGTCTCTTCACAGCAATAGAAAGCCTGACTATGACATTTGCCCATGGCTCTTTATTTTGTTTTGTAACAGAAAATTCACAGGATAGTCTTTGCAAGCTGCTTTTGAGGTGGCATAATTTTAATCCCTGTAAGTCCACCTGACTCTGCTTTGTGGGCTTGAAAGCCTGGCATGCTGCAGTGCTTTACATCCGAGCTACATCTGTAGCTGGGGATGAAAGGTACTACTAGCTAGGTCTGATATATGAGAGTTCTTTGAAGGAAAGCCTCAGTGTAGTTTTTCTTTCTCCTTCCTTCCTTCCTCCCTCCCCCCTCCCTTTTGAGGTCTAATAATTGTAGTTTTGTACAAATCAAAGACTTTGAGATCACTGCTGGGTTTTGTCAAGCTTGTGTTTACTCAGGAGCACAGGACAGCCTACTCCCAATGATGCTATGATACGCACACTGACTTTCACTGCACGGGTCCAGGCTGACCACTTTTACCATACATCCAATAAGTATCTTTCAAGTTTTCCTGTGTCAGAGTGAAGAGCAAAGACTTGACACACATCTCTTTTACTGTAACAACTCAAGCAGTGACTAACTTTTTACCTATTTCGAGACAGCATGGAAAGAGTGCATATGCACCTGCATTCAAAATATGGTGAAATATAAACCAAGAAATTTTTAAATTTTTTTATTGATTCATTTTTTACATTCCAATCCCAGTTCCCCTCCTCTCCTCCTGCTCCCCCAAACCAAGAAATTTTTAATAATAAGCTCCATGGAAAACACTGCTTGAAAGGATTAGGGTCTCATCTTTATTACTGAATTTTCAATAATAAAAAACGATAAATTAGAAAATGAACTCAGGTTTGATTTTTTTTTCAATTTTTGTCTCTTTTAGAAATATGTGCTGTATCTCGAATTTCTAAGAAAGAAATTGGCCGCTGTTTCAAATTGATTTTGAAAGCTTTGGAAACCAGTGTGGATCTGATCACAACTGGGGATTTCATGTCCAGGTTCTGCTCCAACCTTTGCCTCCCCAAGCAAGTGCAGATGGCAGCTACGCACATAGCCCGCAAGGCTGTGGAGCTCGACTTGGTTCCTGGCAGGAGCCCCATCTCTGTGGCGGCGGCAGCTATCTACATGGCTTCCCAGGCATCCGCTGAGAAGCGGACACAGAAAGGTAGGATCTTTATTAGAAGTGTGCCAGAGTGATGGCAAGGTTGGGAGTTGATGGTGAAGAAGACTAACTATTCAGAACCCCTAAGAAGCATTGACACAGAAGGAAGTGGGATGAGATGTAGCCTATTCACAGAGGGTATCTGCTGAGTGTACCCGAGGGCCTGGCCCAGCACCTCAAAAACAAAATATGTATATTGCTTTTAAGTGATTATTTAGAGGCACAGCTTTCTTATATACAAGTCTTCTTTTCCTGCTTGAATTATTGATTTTTAATCTGTATCTTTTAGGGAAGGTTTATTTACTGGGGCCTGGGCAGCTCACTAGTTACATCACTGAAGAAAATAGCATCTCTTTCCCCAGCCACTATTAATTATCAGTGGTACCTCAGGGAGGGGTGGCACTGTATGGCCCTTCACCATTTTTGTTTACTGTTTGAGGCAAGGTCTCATATAGTTGAGGGTGATCTTCATGCCATGCTGGGGGTAAACCCAGCTTTGCACATGATGGGTATTGTCTCAGCCCTGCAACAATACCTGGCGAAAGGAACACAGTGCCTGTCACTCGGTACCATGCCCGGTTGCTTTGCATATATTATGTCTCTTAGAATTACTAAGACACCTTTAAAGAGGCCTGCTAATACCACTATTTGTATTTATGTTGAATCCTACTTCTACTTGGTAGAATGTATGTCTATTATCAGTTACAAAAAGTGAAATTGAGGGGTTGTTTTTGTTTTTCTTTCCCTTTTGGTAGTAAGAATTTGAGCAGATCAACTGAATGTCTTGTTTTTTGTCCTTAGAAATTGGAGATATTGCTGGTGTTGCTGATGTTACAATCAGACAGTCCTACAGACTGATCTACCCTCGGGCTCCAGATCTCTTCCCTTCAGACTTCAAGTTTGACACGCCAGTGGACAAATTACCCCAGCTCTAAGCTGAGGCAACCAAGTTGCAGTCTCATGTACATGGAACTTTATACATAGCCTACATTGTGCTGGTTGAGCCTTTAATAAGATGGTACGCATTCCAGACTAAATATTATTACTTAGCATTCTGTATGTATATATTAGTGCAACATATTTAATGATTTAAATTTCTTACTGAATCTGCTTTCTTTTTTAGTGATTAGGAAACAGTATTTTGGAAGATATTAAAATATGTAATTCTCAAATAAAACATTTTTCAAAGCTAAGGTTTTTGTTACAGTAATATGAAATTTATAATTATAAATCATGTACATTATTATAGGTGATAGAGCTGAGCCTGTTTCCCATCATTTTTATATTTAGGTTCTTCAATTTAATAAAGACTTTAATAAAGTCACAGAAATAGCAAAGGCTTGAGAACTATTGTTAACATCTATTTTGTAGTGTGAATATACAAACCACAGGCATACATAGGAGGCTGAGTGCGAGAAGTGGGGGGCTGGGCCTTGAAAGGCATCAGGTGGTGAGGTAGTGACAGCTTATCCTCAGTGAGCTAGTGCACAGAGAGGATGGTGATTGCACATCTGGTGATTAGTTTATGCTCTAGGTAGGTCGAGTCCATCACCTACCCCAGAGTAAGACCCAAGGAGTCTCTCTCTACCATGTTTCCCTCATGAGTGACATTCTTGATCCCCTGAACAGTACTCTTATGTGTTCCCTGGGCTTTAGGAGCACATAGCTCCCAGTTCAGAGACGACTACAGTCTGCCACCACAACTAGGCCTTAGAAGTGTGGCTTTGGCAATTAGTATAGGTCAGTCCTCAGGAAAGCTGGAAAATGGAGAATCCCAATTAAGTTGTCTACACTCAGGTCACTTTTGTTTCCTTAAGCTGTTTTGCAAGTTAGTAATTAGTAAGCTTAGCACAGTCCACTTTTCATGCAGGTAAAGCAAATCCATTCTGTGCATGCTAGCACAGAATGCCTTAAAACACTCATCGGAAGCTACCTTGGTTGATAGTCTGTTATTACTGAATTCAAGAGCTGGGTTGTCAGTTTCATAGGCTCTTTCTTTCAGTACTGGTGTTCCAGTGAATCCTCCACTCACAGTTTATAACAAATTGAAAGTCTTTATTGCCCCAGGCTGAGACTACACTCAGGTATCCAGGGACCCAGGTGACCCGAGCATGGGGTTCTGAAGTCAGAAACCATTTCCTGGTATCTTGATCAGCAGCTGCAGGTGGGAGGAGGTGGTTAGAGTAAGCAAGCAGTTTGACAGAAGCTAAGATAAGAACTTAACTGGAGAGGGCTCTGCACAAACAGGCAGTTTAGCAGGAATTAAATAAGCAAGGGCATCTAGACCTTGGGTGCCTAGAATAGTTTGATAATTAATTTGCCATGGGATTCTCCATCAAGGAAATCAATTTCTAGTTAAATCTGAACCAGTCTCTGCAAAAACACAAGATGGAGGAACCTCTGCACTGTCTTGTCCTGTCACATTGGTCCTCCCCTACTTCGTATGTCAGAGAAGCCTCTAGAAATGAAAAGATCTATCCACATTCACTTACTAGCTGAGGTGGGACTTGAAGTCTCTTGACAGAAACTTCTTTCCATGAAGCCAGATCATAGGGGATAATTTTACAAGAAGTTTGTCTCGGGACTGAGGTCAGCTGTATTGTTTAAGTTGAATTCTATTAAAGGGAATATTTAGAAGCAAAATATACAGAGAGCTTCTTAAAGAAAGCTTTTGAGTGTGACTTTTAGCCAGGCAGTGGTGTCGCACACCTTTAGTCCTAGTGGAGGTGGAGGCAGGTGGATCTCGAGGCCAGCCTGGTGCAGAGTGTGACAGGTTTACATAGAGAAACCGTCTTGAGGAAAAAAAAAAGGAAAATTCTTTGGGGGGGGGGATTGGAAAAAAAGGAGTAAAACCCTTGTCCTACACACCGAGTTTTATGCTACAGAACACATTTGAAAGCTAGGTACTCCAGTGTGAGAGCCCATGTGGAACTCCCAAGAGCAAGTTGGCCAAGCATAGTAGAAACAGATGAGCTCTGGGTTGTCAAGCGTGGGTTAGAGCCACCTGAGGTCAACTTTGATCCTCTCCACATGCATGTCCACTTGTGGGAGCACAAATGTGTGTATACCACACACATGCAAATAAATTTTAAATCAGCCTGGTGACAAAGTTAATAACTAGAAATTGCCCCTTAGCTATTCTTCCAAACTAAAAATGCCTGCAATTTGATGCCTCTTGACAGTAAGCCTTTGTGTTCACAGCAGTAAATGTACTCTACCTATGGCTATCTTTGGGTCCTGAGCTAATTTTTTATCACAGGTGTGAGATTTACTTTAATTACCAAGATGAACAGCTGAAGGGGTCAGCCTAATACCCATCTGGTCTTAATCCAGGCAAAAGGCTTGTATTCCCCATGCTAATATTTCTAATTATCAGTGGCCCTGACTTTTCCTGATGCTGGATTTTAGTCTCAACCAATTGTTGAGCTACTAAGACTCCCCAACCCCCTCAAGACATCAGTATGCTCTCCTCACCCCTAGATACTCATACATATGCCTCAGGATATCAGAATTTCATGGCATTGCAATAAGGGCATTATCAGTTGATCTCCATGTCAGAGAGACCCCAGTGTCTTTCACATACCTCCCTACCTTTTCACTGTCTGAGGTTAGGGAGGAGTGGCTTTGTGTGTGTGTGTGTGTGTGTGTGTGTGTGTGTGTACACATGTGTGCAGGGTATGTGTGAGGGAGTGTTTCCTTATAGACCAAGTAATACCTAAAAAGACCTTACTTAGGAATGATCAAAACAGCCCCACTTCAGATGCAAATTGCAGAGTAGTTTGCTTCCCATGATGTCACTGACTGAAAATTGAAGCTCTCACTTTAATTTCATTAATGTGTTACAGCAGAGCCCAAGGAGACATGTCTACCAGCTTGTTACTTATAGTAAAAAGGACACAGTTAAGCAGCCTGATGGTCAAGGCATATGCTAAGGGCAGAACTTAGAGACCCTCCTTGGGCATTCCATCTTTCAGAAACCTTCACAAAGTCAGCTACCAGGAAGTTCTTAACTGCTCTTTGAGCTGTGTGTTATATGATTTGCATTTCTATATGGTCTCTCCTTAGAGCCTGGAATTGCAACCCTTCTACCTCAGCCTTCCAAATGGTAAGATAATAGAAATGAGTAACTCCATCCCCTTTAGGTTTTTATGGCAGCTTTCTTATGTGATCTAATAACTCTCAGCACATCTCCCCATGTCGGAGTAGGGGATAGATATTAGTGTTGGAAGTTCTACCTTCTAATCATATGGTTGGTTCCCTCTGCCAAGAATCATCTCAGAGTACTTCATCACCTAGGAAATTACAAACATCTTAGGAGTTGGGACAAGGAACAAGATTTTCCTCCTATTGCTAGGAAATAGTTTTGGGGTACATATGTAAGGGACCATGGCAGAGACAACAGTGTCACAGCAACCACAAAACAACTTTTCTACTACAGAACAATTCTCACGCCTTTTCCTTGGTATATTCCGGGTAGACAATCACATCCATCCACAAATAATGGCTATTTTGTTCCCTTTTATGAATCTTGAACCAACAGTACAGTACAATGTCGAAAAGAGATAATAATGACATGTCTTAACCTCAGATAATAGATAATGATGTCATTGGTTATATTTCTTTGTTTTAAATAGATACCATCTATCACTTTCCTTAAAAAGCAGGAATGAGATCACCTTTAATCTATCACTTTTTTCTTTTATTTATTAACACAGCAAGTAGCCCTAATGGACTTGCTAGTAATAAACCAAACTTGTAATCCTAGAATGAGCCCAATTTGCCAATATAGCAGTATCGATTTCAGATGCCACAGACTCTGTCATATTTGACCCAGTACATCACCTAGTTTATCTAGATTATATTGATTTCCTATTACAAAGTGAAATATTTTTCATTATTAAAAACTCCTGTGAGGTTAAAATCTCTTCTTTGAATTTTTGGATAAACTTAATTTTTCATTCAATGTAAGTCAATGTTTTATTTATTTTAGGGACGCAGAGTTATACAATGTAACCTTGGATGGCATGGACCCCAAAATTGCCTCAAACTTGCAGTGGTTCCTCATCTATACCTCCTAAGGATTTATAGGCACACACCATTTGAAGCGTAGTTTTGGGCACACTGATTCTAACTTTGGAAGCCTTAGCCTGCCCACATTCCTGCTCAAGACCTTCTTTAGTATACAGGGCTGCCAAAGGTCATTCCTACCTTTAATAAGACAATAATGCTTGAGTTTCTCCAGCGTCTTAGGGATTTCGTCTAGTCAGGATCCTAGTAGAGTGAGTGACATTAGGCAGGGGTTTTGACAGATTTCCAAGTTATCTAGGTACTCTACTCTTGTACAAGAATATATGTAAATTCTTCTCTCGCTGTGGCTTTTTCCTCACCACTCACTCAGCTGTTCTGGGAAGATTGGTAATACTTACACAATTTTTGTGAGATTTGAGTCTGGAAGTCAGTTTTGATCAGGCCAGCATATAATAACAATGTTCATTATGTCCCAATGATAGTATATCATTGTACATTTCTAAAATATACCTTTATAGCGTTATTATTACAAAATGGCTGGCAACCTGGCTTATTAATTTGCCGATTTTCTGAAATATCAGATCCTAACTTAAAATGCTATCCTCCAATGAGAAAGCACAAATGCTGCCACTGCTTACATTTTAACATTAGTGTATGTGCTTCTTCAGTCTTGAAAAGTTCACTGCTCCTCTCCTCCAGACAACTCTCGTAACTTCAGTGTCTAGTGACAATAGACACGCCATACATGGGTGAAACAAGCCGAATGCGGAACTACAGTGTAATTTTCTCCATTATTCCAAGTAATGTGGACAAGATGCCTTCCCCATAATAAAAAATACTTACCAGCAGGCTAACTAAAAAGAATTTTTTCCAGATCTTGAACAAATTTTAACACATTAAAAGGAATGAATACTTAAAACCAAAGTTACAAATTTCAATCTATTTTAAACTTTAATTTGTGCATTTGTGGTAATTTATGACTGCAAAACACCCTTTTTCTTAGAATGATGTAAAGGCACAATTCATTTGGATGCATAGGGTACCATTCTAAAGGATCTGGTTTCCTTACAAAGTGCTTGAGCAGTCACATACATATACAGTAAAAGCAAAGTCTATTTACACTCTTAAAATTGAAAATCTGCCTAAAATATATATATATTTTTAA